TGGCTTTTTTCTTTCAATTCTTTGGTTATTCAATCTTGGCAGGGCTATTTATGTGTTTGGGGTTTTTTTTGTTATTTTTTTTTTTATTTTAAGTATGCATTGCCAAATGATTTTGGATAATGAGCTATTGAACGGCAGCAGAAGACTTCTCCACTAACAGTAGCAATGTAGACTGCGAGGCTAAATGCAGCAGGGGTATTCCTGCCTTTAGGGAAAATTCTGCTCTTTTGGCACTTACGGTAATCCTGATTTGGGATGACAAGTTAAAATATCCAGAAATTTGGCAAAATGAAATGCCTACGTAGAAACGTATTGGCAATGACAAAGTGAGTTGTGTTGTGAGGTGTGATGGTACCCGCTGCACCACGGCTTTGTCCGATTTGCAAGTTCAGCTTAAAAATCAGCAAAGCTATAAATTGTAAGTGCCGTGAAGCAACACATTGGCAAGTTAAGGTTGAACCGAACCGAACCAGGTTATTCCTGTCCAGCTCATCAGAAATATTTCAATCTGAGTTAGAATCAGAATCATTAAGATTGGAAAAGACCTTTAAGTTCAACCAAAATATTCTTTTATTCCTTTGGGGTTTCCAAAACTACTGCAGAAAGAAAAAAAAATCAGAAAATAAATGTTATCAATTAAATAAAAAGATAAAAGGAAGCGAAAAAGGGACTGCCAGGAAAAGCTAGGCTTGGTGAGTGGAGCATTTTTGGCTCAGAGCTGGAAATCCATCTCCACTGCCTCTTCCTTCTTTAAGGAAGGCTGTCACTGTCGTTTCAGGGCTAAACAGCCGTGACATAGTTGCTGCAACTTCAGGGTATGAGGTTTCTAACACTCTCGTGCTATTTTACATAATCTGTAACAAAGCAGGGATAGATTTTATTCGTGCCTGTCGTTCACATGAGTATTTAGGAGAGAGTCAAAATTGAGCAGAAACAGGTAAGAAATGGAAAGCGAAATCATCATTTGGTCGCCATTAAAATGACAAGAGACCACACAGCGCCAGGCTCTAGGGCTTTTCTACGTCCTCCAAAGAGAGTCGATGGAAGTAATGAAAAAATAATGAAACTTGTGCAACAGAAGACAAAGAATTTTCTAGTTTTGTATAAAACCGCCTGCTTTTATGCTGTCTTAATTCAAACATGCCTGAAATTCCAGGTTATACCTATCTGAAACAGCAAGCAAATCGTTTGGGCTGTGAGTTCTTGTGTAATAAATCACAGATCACTGATGAAGTCCTCCAAGACAGCTATTCTGCAGATAGCAAGTGGTTTTCTGGAGAAGGCAACCTTTTAAAAACATCTGTGTGTCCAAGGGAGCTGGTACCAGCTGCTGAAAACTGGACACAAACATAAGGAGGTTTTGAGAAAAGCGGTCGAAAAGGGAATTTACAAGTTCTGTGGAAAGAACTGAGCTGGTATGAAAAGCAATTCCCAGAGCAATTATAATTCACCTTTGGGGTATCTAAAGTTCACCATATTAGGCAAAGACAGCTCTAGATCTAGGCGACAGATAGAAATATGTCTGCATTGAAAATGAAACAGTAGCAGCTTGAATACAAATTTTTAGAATATACAAAAATGTGTAATAAGCGGTTAGTAAGATAGAAGAACAGTTAAAAGGAAAATGTTTGTACATAAAGCTTTCTGATGTCCTGACCACAGGAACTAAATTTGACGTTTAATTTGCTTTGCGTTTAGGTATCTTGCTTCCTCATACACTGCCGGGTCAGTGATGTGTCTGGGGGTCAGATTTGGATGCTGTCGGTAAGGGGATCACAGCCTTGCCACCAATTTCTCTAAGAGAAGTGGCTGCTGCCGGGGGACCGGGTGCATTTATTCTCCATCTTTCACATTCGCAGCCCGACTCAGCCTCTGTGGCAGCGTCTTCTCCTGCACCGCGATGGGGCAATTCCTGCCGACCTGGTGGTGGATTTAACTCCTTCCACGGACGGCTGCAGAGGTTGAGCGCTGTTTTGCACTTTCTTCCTTCTTCAGTGTGTTACTAGTCTTAGAAGTTTTTACGGCGATATGCGTAGAGGCGTCTTAGTGTTTTTCAGTAGTCTAGAATATTACTTGGGATGCATGGGTTTAGGTAGCAAAGACTATAAAATCTGTTTTGCTCCGCTTCACACCTACCAAGGGCAACATCTCTCTTGGCCGCTGCCTCAGAAAAAGTTTTTCAAATGGAAAACTCACAATCCTCAAGCGCCTGCTGCGCCAGGGTCTGGTCCCTGTGTTTGATACTGTATTAAGAGGTACCGTGTGCTTCTAAAGCAATTTTCTTGCCCAGCGTTTGTAGGCTAGCTTTGCACCAGGATCACTGCTTCACAGCCTGCCGGACCGACAAAAAGGCTTCTTGAGCGTTACTCGCGTCGCGCGTCGTGCAGGCACGCCGCCTCCTGCCCTGCCCGCGTGCCTTCGCAGATCCACGGCATGTCAGAAGGAGTTAGGTTCTTGAGTTCAGTTGGAAGCCAGAGGTTATTTGAGTTGTAGTTGGGGACTTCGCTCTGAAAATAAGACATGAGGCCCCAGGTAACTTTAGGCCCGTGGGAAGAAGTAAGCACTTAACGTGAGTTTGCAGTGTATGAGCTCTCTTTGGAAAAACCCTTACATGCCTCACAGGGACGTGCGCTTGATCTGAGCCTTGTGCTGCGTATGCCAAAGTGAAGGGCCAGGAGAGAGAAAGGTGCTGGGAACGGGATAAAAATTCCTTCGTTTTATAGTGTGCGTACGATGCTCTCGGCAAGCAAATGATTATTGTTTGAGAGGTTAATTAAAACGCAGTGTCTTAGCATTTCCTGGGCAATGCCTCTGCGAAACACTTCACCATTTCTTCTAAAGAGACCCTAGGTGACTTGCCTGATGAACACTGGATCACGATACAGATATTATTTGGGGCTGATGAAGGAGTTATCAGAATACCAAAGAGCGTTCATGGAAGGGATGAGCATCCTCTGTGGACAGCTGGGTAAAGAAACGGCGGTGTTTTACCTCTCCTGCCCTAAGGGCATGGCTTCTGAGAGGCAGAGAATGACAGCTGGAGGAAAAATTACATATGCTAATTACTTCAAAAATGAATTAATTGCTATTAATTATTTTATCACAAAATCAATTAGTATGGTACTGCAAGTCATTTTAATTAAAGTAGTCGATAAAAATCAGATAAACTGTAGACACAGCAAAATTATGGCAAAACTCCAAAATTAGTCTCTAATAAGAAACGAAGCCCCAAACAGTTCAACACCGAGATTGAATTAGCTGTTATTTTTATTGAAAAATTGGAGCCCACGGCAAGAACATGAAAGCAGAAGCTTCTTTACGAAAAAGAAGAAAGCTTTTGCAGTTCATGAATGAAGTAGAAAAGGCCAGTAGGAGCTATGGGTTTTTTGTATCTATCTACATATTTCTGAGATTATTTTCACCTTAATTAAAAAAAAGAAAAATCACTCTTTTCCAGTGTTTTTAGGTTATTGTACTTAAAGGAATGCTTTAAAGGGACTTGATCTTGAATGTTTCATCATCCCCTTAAACAAAAACATGCTGTCTTTGTATTCTGCACAGTAGTTAAACAAACTCAGAGTAATTTTGGTCCTAATCTAGGAGGAATTGGGTTTCTAAGGGGAAGAAAGAAAATCAAGAAAATTCAGGTTTTTTTAACTTTTTCAGTAGAAATGTGGTTGAAGAGATGGTGTGCAAAAATTGAGGGCCAGATCTCGTGGTGGCATAACTCAGCGCTGCTCTGTTGGCATTCGTGGTGTTTCTGCCTTGCCCGCCATCCGGCAGACGCAGCCATCCGCTGAAAGAGGCTTCTGCGAATTTAGGGATGCCAATCTTTCAGAATTGGATAATGGTGGGAACAAAAAACTGGAGAACATCAGGAGCCTAATTAATCCTCTGCCTTTGCTTTTGAGTCATTGTGTGTGGCATGTGGGTGGGTGGAAGTTTGCATTAGAAAGGAAGATGTTGTACTGCTGCTAGAAAAGGACGCGGATGTCTGGTGTGTGGCAGAAACACGCAGGTGTTTTGGATGCTGGTATTTTATTATCGAATGATTTGCTCGCGGATTAACGATGGCAGCCAGGGGAAATGGATACGGGTCTTCCAGAGCACGGGTGCTTTTTGCGGGGAGATGCGAGTGCTGTAATGCGTGTGCCTAACAGAGCCATGTGAAAGAACATTTCTGTTCTGAGGAAAAAAAAAAAAAAAAGGCTGCAAAAGAATAGTTATCTGGACCGAATTTTTTGAACACATGAGCAGAATTTAATGTTTGGGACTTCATTGACCAATGCACAAAGCAGTTTGAGTAATGAAAAACTAGTCTTTGTCAAGTGAGAAAACAAGAGGCATTGATGGAAAAGCTAATTTATTTACTCTTTTTATGGCGAGAACATGCTTTGCCCAAGTTCAAAACTGACTGTGCAGCTATTGATGAGTATTCCTGTGAGTGAAATGGCTAATGAAAGTACTGACGCTCTT